TGAGAAATGCCGGTGCCACCTACTAGAGACTCATGGACAAGATCTTCCGACACCAAATAGGAACCTGCCTAGAAGTTTATGTGGATGATATGGTAATCAAATCCAATTCGTCCAGTGACCACTTAAAAGACCTCAGCACCATTTTTGATGAAGTTAGACGACACCACATGCGGTTGAACCCGAAAAAATGCACCTTCAAGGTAGCCGGCGGAAAATTCTTGGGATTCATGTTGTCGAAAAGGGGCATAGAGGCCAACCGTGACAAGTGCCAAGCTATCATCAGTATGAAAAGCCCTCATAACATAAAAGAAGTCCAGCAGTTGGCCGGACGAATCGCTTCCTTAGCTCGTTTCCTGCCATGCATGGCGGAAAAATCAAGACCTATAATGTCCTTGCTAAAAAAGGCCACCAAATTCCAATGGACCGAGGAATGTGAGTGGGCTTTTCAAAACTTTAAGACAATGCTCACAACCCCACCATTGTTGACCAAACCGGACCCTGGTCTCGACATGATAGTGTACATATCAGTATCAGACAAGGCCATCAGTACCGTTTTGGTGCAAGAAAAAACGGAACAGACGCCGGTGTACTTCGTCAGTCGAGCGCTACAAGACGCCGAGACGAGGTATCAACATCTCGAAAAGATAGTCTTGGCCCTTGTACATACCGCCAGCCGTCTTCGACACTATTTTCAGAGCCATCGGGTGCTTGTCCGAATAGATAGCCCCATAACTAAGGTCCTGCGCAAGCCGGAACTGGCAGGACGAATGGTGGCCTAGTCTATAGAGCTGTCTCAGTTCGAAATTCGTTTCGAACCAAGAGGGCCTGTCAAAGCACAAAGCATGGCCGATTTCGTAAACGAATTCACGCCACAAATACCCCCCGAATCCCCCCTCTGGACTTTACACGTAGACGGGTCATCAAACCAACGAGGCAGTGGCGCTGACATTATTTTGGAAGGCCCTAGCCAGGTAGTAATCGAACAGTCCTTGCGATTCGGCTTCAAAACGTCCAACAACCAAGCCGAGTACGAAGCCCTTTTGGCAGGCCTGAGGTTGGCGCAGGACCTAGGTGTTACCAAAATACAATGTTAGAGTGATTCACAGGTGGTGACAGGCCAAGTTAACGGTACTTTCCAAATCAGGGAACCAACACTGTTGTTATACTTCCACGCTTTCCAGAAGCTGAAGAGCGACTTTGAAGATGTCCAAGTTAAACACACGCCCCGAGAGCTCAACACGAGAGCTGATCAGTTGGCTAAGCTAGCCAGCAGCAAGAAGATCAGTCATTTGCGCAGCATGATGCAGCAAGAACTACACAAGCCCAGCATCACCCAAGCCGAATGTTTGCAGGTCCAGCAGGGAACACCCAATTGGATGACCGGGATAGTCGAGCATCTCACAACCGGATCATTACCCACTAATCCCTTGGAGGAAAAAAAGATGAAAATCGTGGCGGCCCGATACACCCTAATTGCTGGGGAATTGTACAAGAGGGGGATGTCGACACCATTATTGAAATGTTTGGCACCGGAACAAGCACAATACGTGGTCAGGCAAATCCACGAAGGCATATGTGGAACTCACTCGGGCGGTCGAACCCTTGCCACCAAAGTCATCCGAGCCGGATACTATTGGCCAACCCTACTCACGGATTGTGTCAATTTTGTTCAACAATGCAAGCCGAAGTAGCACACAAGGTCATCCTCAAAGAGTTGAAACGACGACTCGGGCAAGTTAAAGGAACATGGCCCGACTGTTTGCCCGAACTCTTATGGGCCTACCATTGTACCCCACAGAGCTCAACTAGAGAAACACCTTTTCGGTTAACCTACAGCACGGATGCCATGATTCCAGTGGAAGTAGGTGAACCTTCCTTGAGACGAACAATATTCGATGAATGAACCAATGGGGAAGCACTAAACATCGAACTGGATTTAGTTGAGTAAGCACGTGATCAAGCCCTCATCAATATGGAGGCTTGCCGAACCAGGCTAATCAGGAAACACCAAACGAAGATCAAACCCCGCGAATTCCAACCCGGCAACTTGGTCTGGCGAGTTACAGGAGACGCGCGACGGGACAAATCCCAGGGAAAGTTGGCACCTAACTGGGATGACCCTTATTGCATAATGCACAATTTACAAAACGGAGCATATAAGTTAGAAGAACTAACAGGGAAGGCTATCCCTCGGACGTGGAATGCAACACTCTTGAAGCATTACTTTAGTTAGCATACACCATGTAATTCTGTTTCGGTGCACTCTTTTCCTTTTTCAGGTTTTCTCCTCTTAGAAAAATGTGAAAAGAGGTTTTCCTGATAAAAAGGTTTTTAACGAGGCACCATGATAGACTATGGCCAAGGCCAAGGAATCCAAGAGGTGATATACTGAAAGAACCAAGAGGAATGGGATGATCTTAAAGACCTTTTTCATATATTTTGTAAATAGTCTCTTGTATAGGTTATTTTGCCTTTGTATTTGTGAGGCACTTTACTTGCTTTTTCCTAGTGTTTGTATATTGTTTTTAAGGTAGGCTACTTGGAGAGTTTAGCTCCATTTAACCTCCCTAGATGATACATTCATTTTATATTTTTTCAGTAGGGAAAAGGGGGTGACATTTAGCAATGCTTGTGGGTGTAACAAGTAATTGGGCCAGAACTGGGCCTAGGCAAAATTTTGCATATTGGACTCATTTTGCTCCTAATTTTTCATAGATTTGATTTAGCTAGGTTTCATCATCATATGATGAACCTAACTAAACCAAATCAAACATTTTTGAATTAATTCAAGGAGCAAATTGGACCCAAGGCCGCCTAGCTTCATCCTTGTTCTTTGGCCGAATTGAACTTGTTACTCTCCAAGGTTTGAAGCTTGCTTTGCAAGCTTCTCAAACCTTGGACGGTTTAGGCAACCTAACCATGGTTCTTAAATGAACCATGGTCAAGGTTGGCTTCTCCCACAAGCTACCTAAACTGTGGGAGTTAAAGTTTACCCTACCATGGTTCCTAGTGAACCATGGTTAGGGATAACTTCTCCTACAAGCTACCCTCCCCTATATATTTGATTTTCCTACACTTGTACTCACTTTTGACAAATTTGAGAAATATAATCTGAATTTCTCTCCCACTCAAGAGTCACAAAAATCGAAGAGAACCCTCACTCTAAGGATTCTCTCAAAGTGCTTCTACTTTTGGCTTGGTTCCTAAAGCTTCCTTCACAAGCTTAAGGAGTGGCCGAACCTCCTTCATAGACTTCACCTCCATTGAAGCTTCTTCAAAGGAGATTTCAGAGATCTTAAAGAGTAAACCTCAAGGCATTTCGGTCCTTAGCATGGAACTCTTGAAGAAACATCAATGTACTTCAACTAGTTCCATCACACCATATCAATGAAACAAGCCATTCTTCAAAAAACTTTTGTGCTCAGTCTAATCGTAAGCCAAAACTTAAATCCCTCCCGAGCACTCTCGCTCGGCCAAGGTTGAATTAAATAATCCCTCCCGAGACATCCTCTCGGTCAAGGTTGAATAAAATAATCCCTCCCGAGCACTCTCGCTCGGCCAAGGTTGAATTAAATAATCCCTCCC